CTGAGTTGTTGACTTTTTTCTTGATTTTTTTTTTCTTTTCTCTCTGGCGCTTTCTTCCAAACTGATAAAACCTATAAGACCCTTCTGCACCAAACATGGCCACGATTCACGATGGCACACAGATATTGTGGATTGTCTTAATTTTGATTTTGTTTTAATTGGTCTGCAGATGGAATAGTTGGAACTTCTTTGCATGCAATATCAGTGAAAGGGTCATTAAGGAAACGGGCATCTCATCCATCTTATTTTATTTTACTTTTTGAAAAGTAGTCCTATGTTAACTTGATTTTATTTAAATAAATATATTGCATAATAAAAAAAAGTATCTCCTTCGGCAGTGGACAGTTAATGAAAGCCAATATATTTTGAGTATGTCTGTATGTTGCTGGAAGGGGGATTTCGACCTTTGGTCATTGGTTCTCTCTGTACTTAATAAACTTTGCATTCTTGAAAGTATGGCAGTCTTTTTCGGTGAAATAGGTTAACTATTTAAACAGGAAAAAAAAAAGAACTTTTGTTTTTATTGTGAAATTTGCATGCAATGGGATAATGATTTGTACTGTAATTTTAGACTTATAATCTCCAAAGGCGTATTTTTGTTTCACTGCAATCATTATGGTTCATACTTAATAGCAGTAATTCAATATTTATCTCGGTTCTATTAATGCTGATATGTATTTTATCCTTCCAGCTGATGTATTTAAATACCCATTCATTACATTTACTACATTCTTTTGGTAATATTTTGTCAGTATCTTTTATTTAGGTAATTGAGTCTTAAGTCAGTCTTGGAAGTTCCATTTTATTACAGAACAAAAATGAATTCTGAAAACATAGATGATAATTTGAATGATTATTTGCCACCAACCATGAAAGATATTGAGAATGAACCGAATTAGACCTGGTGACCCGTTTTGACAGCACTACCTATGACAAAGGAAGAGGAGCAACGAAGCATAACTCGATGCTCGAATTCCAAGATAGTGGAAAGAGAAACCAACACGGAAGCGGAAACAATAAGAAAATATTAACAAATTATAAACTGATTTTGTTCTAACCAGAATTAGGGTTTCAAATATATTAGATTAATAGAACACAACAAAATAAAGAATAAGATTAGTCGCACACAACAGAAAAAAGAGTGCCATTTTGGAAAGTAACAAAAGCGCAATTTTAAAACACGAACAATGTTTTAGCAATCTAGAATGAAGGTTCTGAAACGGATGATTTACCTCGTCATTGCCGTTGGGCTGTTTCTGAAACCAATTGATATTGAGCACCTGCATCCAGAAACACACAGAAGTTACGCCAAAACAGTGATCTGCAATGGCAACACAATGCATAACATGGAAAAAAAATACAATAATGGCAACACCGGAACAGTCGTATGAGCACCAATTACAAAATAAAAAATGAAAAGTGACAACAAACAGAGTCCACTTAGGGAGGACAAGGAAGAGGAACACTCACTTGAGGAACAATGTGCAGCAACTTCACCCAGTGACAAGATCGACACCTTAGTGTGTCGAACTATGGTGAGAAGTTCCAATGAGAACTTTCAATTCCTAGAAAGAAAAAGTGTTTTGATCGATAAAGGGGCTAAACCCACCCTAAGGATGTCTCAACCCATTCCATTCAGGGCTTTTAGGGTTGGGGGCTTTCGAAAAATCCCCCATTAAGTGGGTCACTAAAATGGGGCTTAGCTTTAAATAGGGTTGGGGCTGACCCATGGGTAGTGAATTAAAATGACAAGTTTATACAAGACACACTACCATGCGTCAGCTTTAAGAAAAAGAAATCATACTCAAACACTACAATTAAACCACTGCACAGACTGACTTAGACCTTAATTAACCAATCTAATTGCAGTACCGAACCATATAATAGGTGTAACAGTATAAGCAGTGCAGAGACAATGGATTCGTGCAGATAAATAAAAGACAGTAAGGGAGGTTCCAGCTCAGGGCACATTCTATCCAAACATTTATCATATTCTGCCAAAGTCTTAAAACAGCGAACTCATGTAGTTTCAGGTTCAGCCACCAACGAGTCAACCACAATTCATGTTTCATATGCATACATGTGCTTATTAAACTTAAGGACTCATATCCAATTACACCAGCCTCCACAGTTATGCATCATTCCTAAACACCACCACTCACGTGAATATTCAGCATATATAAGAAGAACAATTCCTGACAGCTTCTAATATGCAACACAACACTAAAACAGTCACTAAAATCATTGTTAAAACCAGGCAATATGCACCACATACACAACTCCNTTCTGAAACCAATTGATATTGAGCACCTGCATCCAGAAACACACAGAAGTTACGCCAAAACAGTGATCTGCAATGGCAACACAATGCATAACATGGAAAAAAAATACAATAATGGCAACACCGGAACAGTCGTATGAGCACCAATTACAAAATAAAAAATGAAAAGTGACAACAAACAGAGTCCACTTAGGGAGGACAAGGAAGAGGAACACTCACTTGAGGAACAATGTGCAGCAACTTCACCCAGTGACAAGATCGACACCTTAGTGTGTCGAACTATGGTGAGAAGTTCCAATGAGAACTTTCAATTCCTAGAAAGAAAAAGTGTTTTGATCGATAAAGGGGCTAAACCCACCCTAAGGATGTCTCAACCCATTCCATTCAGGGCTTTTAGGGTTGGGGGCTTTCGAAAAATCCCCCATTAAGTGGGTCACTAAAATGGGGCTTAGCTTTAAATAGGGTTGGGGCTGACCCATGGGTAGTGAATTAAAATGACAAGTTTATACAAGACACACTACCATGCGTCAGCTTTAAGAAAAAGAAATCATACTCAAACACTACAATTAAACCACTGCACAGACTGACTTAGACCTTAATTAACCAATCTAATTGCAGTACCGAACCATATAATAGGTGTAACAGTATAAGCAGTGCAGAGACAATGGATTCGTGCAGATAAATAAAAGACAGTAAGGGAGGTTCCAGCTCAGGGCACATTCTATCCAAACATTTATCATATTCTGCCAAAGTCTTAAAACAGCGAACTCATGTAGTTTCAGGTTCAGCCACCAACGAGTCAACCACAATTCATGTTTCATATGCATACATGTGCTTATTAAACTTAAGGACTCATATCCAATTACACCAGCCTCCACAGTTATGCATCATTCCTAAACACCACCACTCACGTGAATATTCAGCATATATAAGAAGAACAATTCCTGACAGCTTCTAATATGCAACACAACACTAAAACAGTCACTAAAATCATTGTTAAAACCAGGCAATATGCACCACATACACAACTCCAGTCCACGGAACATATTCAGGTACCAAAGGGTCAGCAGCATAACAAAACCATCACAAGACAGAACATACACAGCGTGAACAGCTTCATTCATTGGGATGCAGGGCAGGGTTTGCAACTACATAATTACTGAACAGGTTAGAGTTTCACGACTATCATTCCAGAAGTATATCAACCAGACTTAACGTACCGAGTTATGACCCATAATTCCCCCAAAATAATCCATTTTTATAGCTTAAACAATTTAGCACTTTTCACTGGACCATGAATTAAGTTCTAAAGTGTTCAAACAGACCGGCAAGTTCATTACACCACATATCATCCAAACAGTCACTTAATTCTATGTTCTTTGACAACCAATTAGCACATTTACACAGAAAGTACTATAAAGCATGTTATCACCCCCAACCAAACAAATGAAACTCGTTCATTAGAAACAGCCAACACATTATAATAGTATCATATCAACAACCAAACAGAGTATCATCTCTGACCATGTCCGTGACAGAATCAAGCAATGTATCATATACATACAAGCAAAACTAAACATCCAAGGTTAACTCCTTGTACCTTAATTCTTCCTAATTCTACACTTCTCGTTCTCGACTTTCGACATTCCCTTTCACTCTCTGTTTTCTCAAGGTGGGTTTGTTTGGTACTTCTACCCTATCCTCTCCTCTCGCGGTCCTTAATAGGCTTCTCTGCCTTGAATGACACCCTCTCAAAACCCTAAGGTTAACTCTCGCCCTCGGATTCCCTCTCCCTAGCTCTCGCACCACCAAAAATCGACATTCACTCCCCCTTTCGTTTTACTCGATCATTGAATGCTCTCCCTTACTCCTCCCTGGCCCTAGGGTTTGTGTTTTCAAGGATGCAAAAACAAAAACAAAAGAGAAGAGAAGAATTGAAGGTTTCTTTTAATTGGTGATGAGACTAGGGCTCCTTGCCACCTCTCGCTTGTAGGGTTTCTCTTTTGAGTTTCTCATCCCAGGCAAACAAAATAAAGCTTAAGTAAAAGAAAGCTAAATAAAAACACAACACTTTTGGTTCCCCCTGGCTTCGAGTTTGGGACACCCCAAACAGCACACCACCAACCACAATTCTACCACTACACCAATTCATTTCTTTTGATTTTTATTAACATTTAATAGATATTTAATTACTACCTTGTGGCCTCTATATAAAAGTAAGACCTTATTAAACAAACACACATTATTTGCACCATAACAACACCTACTAATTAAACCACATGGCACTTGTACAAAAATATAACTCATTTTATTAACAATATATATTCCAACAAATAACTTATGCATAAAGTTGTATTAATTTTTCGTGTCTTGCGTTCTTTTCAACTTCAAAAATTTTCGTCCTTGAAAATTGAGTTACCTACACAGATATTCCTTTACCCTATAATCCTCTATCACCCAACCAGAAACTAGTCCACCCAAAGCCACCACTGATTCCGACATCATCACAACATTTTCATTCTAGACTATCAAGCCACAATAATACTTATACAACATTAAACAGAGTTTCCAAAACTTATAATCTACTCAAACAGCAATAGAACAACATCAGCAATGCTATAAAACTGCATTCTAGAATACGAACACATCATTTTCTATATAAGTAGAAAACAGCATCATAACCATCATAACTCAGTAAGCATACACTGTATAATGTTCTGATAGTTCACTTCAAAGAAAACAAAGCTTCAATTACACAATTAAAAAGTTTCAGCATCAACCCTCATCCATTTTCGTTATAATAATTAAGGTTTCATGATTAGGCCTTTTTCTTTGACTCACAAAGTTCACGTTACCGTAACTTTGCTCTTAGAAAGTGAGATTATTTTATTTAGATTCTTATTCAAGAGAGTCTAGTAGCATACATACCATAGTCTAGCTAAACAGTTATACACTACTAGTCCACATACACCTTAGAACATGACAATTACCATAACAGTAGAAGATATACACCCTATCAGTTATTTACCAAGCAGCTCACTGTGATGCCTTAGAACATGACAATTACCATAACAGTAGAAGATATACACCCTATCAGTTATTTACCAAGCAGCTCACTGTGATGCCCTACACAACCACTGATCAAACTCTAATTTTTCATATTGACCTGCTCAAAACTTCTTAACTGAGTTAGTTAAGCTATATGCAACTGATGCAGGGAATGATATTGGGTATGCTATGGCAGAGTTGGAATGAAAACTGAAATATGGGTGAACAAAATTCAACTACCATGATGAACAATGATAATTCTGAGATGTAACTTGAATCAGAAAGTAGAAAAACAAAACGCATCACAAAAACAGATTGAAGACTAAATTCTGACTCGAAAACAGAATTAAAATGCAAATGCAGAAAATGGGTATGTAAAACAGAAAAGAAGATGAAATGGGTAATTTCTTGAATTAGAGAAACTCAAACACAGTAATGGTCATTCAACCTTCATTGACTGCCAAGTACTTATTTCTGAATTCTTGGAACATGAAGATCATTTTAGACCACTTAAAAATAGTTTTCAATCAGAAATTGCAACTAGTACAATGCAATGCTGTGAATGCACATGATCTTGTTCTGGGTTTTGTATTTCAGATTTAACATAGGGAATTGAAGGCATTGTAAAGAAAACGAAAATGGGTATAAAAAAAACAGTAAAGGATAATTACCAATATTAAGCAAGTATGTAGAACAAACTGGCAGAATGTAGACTTATCAATGATGAAACCAGCAAAATGGCAGAAGCAAACGTCATTAACTGGGGACCGCTCAGTATGTAGAGCAACTATTAAGCAAACATGAATGGAATTACAGCATCTGGTCATGTAAAATTCAAAATCTTTCATTTTTCAATCAAGCTCAAGTATCTTCTTGATAATTCCATAGACAAATCTTTTTCGGCTTTCTTCTCGAGATGCGTCCTAACTTTTTTGTATGCTGAAAAATTAGGTTTAAGACCCTTGTCCATCATCTCAGAAAGAACCTTACTGGCAAGCAGAACATTCCCATTCTTCAAATGAAGGGTAGCTAGCAAGCTGTAGTTTGCATTGCTATAATAGCTAAGCTTATCGGCAGAACCAATCACATACACGTGTGCTTCCTCGTACTTTCCTGATTCAAAGTAAGACTTTATTATTGCAGCATGAGTCAAAATACTTGGTTCAATACCCTTAAGAGTCATTTTATCAAGAAGCTTCATAACTAAATCAAACTGATGCCTCTTACAAAATGTGTTAATAAGAATACCAAAGCTATGCTCATTAGTTAAACCATAGTTTTTCTCCATATCTTCAAGCACTTGCCAAGCTTCATCTATTTTACCACTCTTGCATAGACAACTGAGTAGCAAATTATACGTACCTGCATTCATATCACAATCACTTCTCTCCATCTCCTTAACCAAATCTCCTACTCTTTTACAATCACCTCTCTTACACATTATCCTCATTAACACATGATAGTTTTTAATCTTTCTCCCCGCTGTTCTTATCACAAACTCAGCTGTCTCAAACGATCCTGAAAGACCAAACATTTCTATCAACAACTGAACTCCAAAACTTTGATAAACCCCGCCAACCTCATTGAACACGGTCATAATCTTTTTCACACATTTTATTCTAGAAGTCTTGTCCAAACCTAAATCCAGCAAAAACCCAAAAGCCTTTATTCTCAAAAACACCCTTTTAAGGCTAAATCCACGCAAAACAGGAACCATTGCCTCAAAATTCCACAACAACCCACAGTTAAGAACAAACAAGCTACCTATATCCGGATCACAACAAATATCAGGATCAGAAACTTTAAGCCAATCAAAGAACTGCAATGCTGACACTCTGTCACTGGCTAATATCTGAAAAATGTCAACAACTGACGTATGAGACAAAGACACGTTCATACTATTCAACTTGGCTACCAAATCATCCCCATCCTCACGAATCAGTGCAATGATTTGAGAAATCTGCTCTGAAGTAGCAAGAGGCCTACCCCAGTAAGGAGTACACGTACGAGTACAAAAAGTACAAAAATACACGCGAGTATGAAAGTGCAAATTGAGATTGAAGGGTGAGTGCCCATTATCAACATTAGAACAAGGAGTTGAAGAACCCGCAAAAGGGTGATTGGGGAAGGAAAGAGTTGAACACCCGAATGAGATGCGGGGAGGAGAAAGGAGAGTAGCTGAACTTGAAGTTGGGGTGTCAGAGAAGAACGAGATGTGAAAAGTAGAATTACAAGATTGATGAATTGAGACCAACCTGAGATTATTGCGGATGTTTCTAATTGCCATGATATTTTGTTGGTATTGGTATTGCTGGGCAATTGAATTCAAGACTTGTAGGTTTTGGTAAACCGCTGGGCAATTGGTGTGTGCTTACGTTCTTCGAAACGCGTACTTTGATGGGTACTTTGATGGGCTTGATGATTCCATAGGTGGTCATGTACGAGGATACCCAATCTCACGGAAGAAGTGTAAAGAATATTAAACTTTGCCAAATTCCACAATGAAAATTTGGAATAAACAGGAAGGTTTCTTGTATAGAATCCTTAGAGAAACACTCTCAATTTCAAAACGGAACTCCACATTTGCAAGAATACATCTTAATAAAGCAGACTAATTCATTCTTCCAAAAACAGGGGGCATGGGGCATATTTATAATAGGAGAGGCAGTCACGCATATAAAGATCCAGGAGGTGTGGGACTTGGGGCGGAAAACTCAACTGTTGCGTCAAGAAGTAGAAACAGCCCCCACGCATATAATGATACTAGGCTCGTTTAATTCCAAATCTGAAATGAAGCAAAAACAATGAATTGTCAGAAACTAAACTAGGGTTTTCTAGAAATCTGCGCTTGAGTATCCAAATGAGTAGCTCAAATTTTCAAAAACAAAATATGCAGATTATTACATGGAAATATATAACCTTAAAACTACTATTATCAATCTCTTACTGTGTGCGCGCATTTAAATAACTCAACGGATGTGCAATCTAATTCAAAACCTAACGAACACACGCAATCATATCATTACTGAAATAGCAACAGCCATAACCCAGTCTCATCACATATATATTTCACCAAGCCAATTACAGATTGCACAGCAAGGTTAATAACCCAGATATGATTGTATCAAGATACGTATTCATTCTATCAATTTTGCATTATAGCACATAAGACAATAAACTGCAATACAATACCAACCCTTAATGTACTCTGCATAGAATAATAATCCTACCAACCTTGGTAGTTTCACATAGCACCATCAATCATACATTCATTCAATTCATTTTATCCTATATCCAATACAATAAAGTTTTAGTAATCAAATTTAAACAGCAGAAAACAGTACATAAAATAACAAAAAATAGTATAAAAACAGCATCTTTTTGATATATAAATTTCCTTCAAAACAGCCAGGTTTTGTGCAGAAATTTTAATACAAACAGCAAGTATTTTATACAGATTTTATAACAGCTAACAGCAAGCCTTTTTGAAAGCAAACAGCAAATGATTTAAGTGCAATAACAGCATCTAAAACAGCACCAAACAGCAAGGAATTAAGTGCAATAACAGCAGCCAAAACAGCACCAAACAGCAAGGAATTAGGTGCAATAACAGCAAAGATTTTTCTCAAAACTCTGCACCTACGGCACTAAACAAAAACTGGACAGCAGAGAAAAAAAATAAAATGAAAAAAAAAAATACAAGAACACTATAACATTAGTTTCCAGTTCACCTTTTATAACCACACTTCAATGTACACCCTATTTGGTTCCAATATAAAAAAAAAATAACATTAGTTAAGTTCGTATAAAAGAAACCAACGTTAGTTTTCTTTTTCAAAAAGTTTCTAGAATTAAAGTTTGGGCCAGCTGCACCGTAATGTCCATTAAGCACCACTTGTTTTATGCACCGCATAGAGAAAAGAACATAAAAATAATAGAACTAAATATTTGGACAGCAATAGAATTATTATCCAGCAAACCACTACCTAAAAAAAGTAATAAAATATGAATCAATAACAACACCCCCAAGAAATAATATAAATGCTCAAAGGCTGCACCAACCTACATCAAACGAAACTTCCCTGACTAACAAGCTTAAATTTTCTCCCAATTTTTTTTCGAAACCCATGTTGCATCAAAACTTATTTTCAGCGTCAGGTGTTTCTCTAAAAGAACCATGATTCAGCTTTAAAATAAATTGGCAGCACCATGGAACAATTATAAATCACTGTAATATATCATGTACCAGCCAGCGTGCAACAGTCAGCACTCATAACAAAGAAACCAAAACAATATCACAGAGCTTAGTCCCACCCAAAACAACTATCACCCAAACTCAATAACAGGATAGTTCATATGACGTCAATCTCTTCCTCAGAAACAGTCAACTACATTAATATGACAGCAACCCAAAACATAGCAACATCAAGGACCATATACAAAACAGAATCAATCAGTTCATCAATAAAATTTCAAGTCACCAAGCATTTTCAGATATCAAACAATAAACAATCAAGCACAGGATTAGCTCTCCATACCTTGGCCGATTCTTACTTTCTTACTTGATCTATCTTCCTAACGTTCTTCTCCTTTCCCGTCGCGTCTCGTGTTCTCCCTCAATCCTCACTCTGTTTTTCACTCAAGTAGGAATGTTGTGTGTGATTTCACTCCTCCTACCTCCCAATCCTTAAATACCCGCACTCCTCTTACCTCCTTCGCGTCCTCTAACGGCTATTTTCGCGCCTTAACTCCTCTTACCAATCTTTATTGCTCACGGGTTCTAGGGTTTTGTTCACTCTGATTAATTAAAATGCAAAAATAACTCACTTTTTATCATCAGGGTTCCAACGGGTCTCTTAAGCCACATAGTATCCAACAACAACTACACTTCTTTTAATTTGGACCTAGTAACAAGCCTTTTAATTTGGGCCTCGTAATAGTTCTTTTAATTTGGGCCTAGTAACAGGTATTTGGGTGTTGCTCCCTCCACCACCCTTTCTTCCTCCACCTCCCCAACTCTTTGCAAAAAAAATTTAATTACAAAAGTAATTTTTTTATTTTTAACTCTATTTATTTACTTTAAACTCAAACTCTACCCAATTTCACTTTTCACTCAACCCTACCTCCCAACTCTTCATTAAAATGGATTTTAATGGAGAATTTCAGTGATTGAAGGGAATTAATGGTACCTATTTATACACCTATAATCTAAGGGACAAGAATAACAACAAATAATAAGAGAAAAAGAAAGAAAGAAAGAATTAATAGGAACTAGAAAAGAATGGCTGGAAGTGGAGGAAGGAATTTAGACGAAACACCTACCTGGGCGGTGGCCACTATCTGCTTTGTTTTGCTCTCGGTATCTATCATCATCGAATACGTCTTCAATCTAATAGGAAAGGTATATATATATATATATATATATATATATA